CGAGAAGGATCGGGAATAGTCAACACCGGTGCTGAAGTTAATCTCTTCTTGAGCTCCTGGAAGCTCGACTCACATCGGTCAGTCCACTCGAACATCACAGACTTCCTCGTCAGCTGGGATAGTGGGAGGGCAATCTTGGAAAAGCCCTCGATAAACCTGCGATAATAGCCAGCTAGACTGAGAAAACTGCGAACCTCGGACGGACTCTTCGGTGTCGACCAGTTCTGAACAGTGGAGACCTTAGAAGGATCTACCTCAATACCTGCCTGAGTAATGACATGGCCAAGAAAGGATACTCGCTGGAGCCAGAATTCGCATTTGGAGAATTTTGCATATAACTTTTCTCGTCTGAGGGTTTCGAGAACCACCCTCAGATGCTCCTCATGCTCCTTCTGGCTCTTTGAGTAGATAAGAATATCGTCAATGAAAACAATAACGAAATGATCGAGGTAGGGATGGAAAATACGGTTCATTAGGTCCATGAAAACTGCTGGAGCATTACTGAGGCCGAATGGCATGACGACGAACTCATAATGGCCGTAACGAGTACGGAAAGCGGTCTTAGCAATATCTGACTCTTTGATTTTCAGCTGGTGGTAGCCTGATCGCAAATCAATCTTTGAAAAGACACAAGCTCCCCTCAGCTGATCAAATAAATCGTCAATCCTGGGAAGCGAATACTTGTTCTTGATCGTCAACCGGTTAAGATCCCGGTAGTCGATACACATGCGCATGGAACCGTCCTTCTTCTTGAAAAAGAGAACGGGTGCTCCCCAAGGTGACACGCTCAGCCGGATGAAACCGAGTCGTAATAGCTCCTGAATTTGCGCCTTAAGCTCCTGCAACTCCTTCGGCGCCATACGGTACTGGGCTTTGGATACTGGGCCGGCTCCTGGAATAAGATCGATAGAGAACTCTACCTGCCGGTTAGGCGGTCCTCCTAGAAGTTCGTCTGGGAACACGTCCACAAACTCACGAACGATTGGAACGTCGTGAGGTGATCGTGCTTTCTGAGAATAATCGACAAGGCTCACGAGATAACCCTGACAGTTGCCTCGTCGTAGCATCTTGGTGGCTTTTGCCATCGAAACGACATGAGGTAAGGAACGATTCTTGGTGCCAAAGAAGGTAATCAAATCATCTCCCAG